TTTTTTTTTTTTTTTTTTTTTTTTTTTTTTTTTTTTTTTTTTTTTTTTTTTTTTTTTTTTTTTTTTTTTTTTTTACTATTCTGACCTTATTCTTCCTTATTCTTTCGCTTATCTTATTTTTTTTTTAATTTTGAATTCGGTACATACCAATATCCAGTTCCTAGTATAATAACTTGAATTTTGAATATTAAATAGATTTAAAAATTTATTGAGTCGTAATAAAGTATAGAAGAAAATTTTATTTATAAATATATTGTAAATAAAAAATTTTTATACAGCAATAAAATATAATGTTAAATAAAAAAAAAAACTCTTATTTTATGTTGTTCATGGCTGCATCAACAACTTCATTAATATCATAACCAGTTTTATCCTCAGATTCTATAATATTATCATGGTTTGTTTCATCTATCTGTTCTTCTGCAAAAATATTCAAATCTATCATTTCTTCTACTTCCAAATTTTCACAATCGAATTGTATCATTTTATCTAAATTATCATCATCAGAAATATAATCTGCATCGAATTCTTCAGTATTGTTATTGAACATGTCATCATCATATTCAATTGAATTTGAATAATTTTCCATTATTTGTTCAAGTTCTGCTTCTGGAATATCACTTGTAATATAATTTAGTTCATTTTGAGTATTGGTCATATAATATGTATGTAATTTGGTGATATTTGATACTTTTTCAACAGTTAATCTATAAAAAATATTATTGTGATAGTAAATATATATTTAATAAATAGATATATTAATTGTTAGGGATGATGCTAAAATCTGATGATACAGGGTTTTGATTAAAAGATAAAATTCATCTATATTCTTTTATTATAAACACTTATACATGTGTATCTAAATTGCTCAACTTAATAAAAAAGTAATTACAGTATTTAGGTAGCTAAAATTAGTGCTAAAATTAATTTTTGTATATGTCAAAATTATTGTCAAAATTTTTGAACTCTTTTCATCAAAATACATACTATAGTATAGTTATTTCAGAGAGTTTCATATAAAAAATTTAGTAATGCTAAAATGTTTACTGAAAATACTTTCTTTTGAAAATAATTTGGGTACACATATATATAAATACTAACTCTAAATCTTAATCTAACTCTAAAAAGAAGGTTAAAAAAAATACCTCAAAAAATTTTTAAAATTTCATATTAGAATTATGTAAGTTTAGTGCTTGCATATAATAATCTAATTTTTAATCAGTAATATAGAACATATGTACTAACTTACTAACTGTATTACTGATTTACAAGTCTGATAATTATATGTATTTGAGTATCAAATGAAAGTTTGATTTTGCTAAGCACTATGTGAATTAAAATTTTAGCATTATCTGATTTTAGCATCATCTTTGATATTAATTAATTTAATTATTTGTTTTTTCTTTTTTAAGTAATCCAACTTAAAACTAAGAATATACATTCACAACTTGCACTATAAGATAAAATTGCTATTAAATATAAAGCAAGTTTTTGCAAATTATAGTTTTCTAGTTTACATCTAAGCCACCAAATTTGTGGTGATTTAATTTCTTTTACAAAAATAAAATTATTTACTGCTTCATATGCATCATACTTTTTAATTTGTGCTATTAATATATTTACACTTGTTATACTTTTTTTACTAATTTTTTTCTATATTTCAAGAGCAGTTAATAAAATTTTATTAAATATTAAGATTTTCATACTATTTCCTCAATATTTGAATAAAAAAAATATACTAAAAGATAAGTTTTTATATTAAATTCTTTTTATTATTTGTTAAATACTTTATTCAATATAATGAATATACAATAAACAAGATAATGAGAAATTGAATCTTATACTACTAAAAGGAATATATCAAAGTCTGTTATAAGAAGGTCTAAACTACAGGTTTTATATTATTATATTGCTTCTACTTCTTTAGAGAGAACAACTAACTAGAAAGACTAATAACAGTAAATACTTTATATAATTTTCTACTATTTCTGCTAAATGCTTTAACCAAATTACTGATGAACTTCAAACTTCTCTTTTACCAAAACAACAACAACAACAACCTGTAGCTAATCCTAAAATTCTCTTTCCAAACTTCAATACTAATCTAACTTCTACTCTAACTGCAATTATCCTATACTCTCAATACCATCATATATGTTTATACTGCAAATAAAAAACTATTTTTTGTATTTATCTTGCTAATACTAAACATGCATCTAACTACACTCAGTGTATAATCTTTAAAAGTTATTTATTACATTACAACTATATTCCTAAACTTTAGAATATTAAACTTACAATTAAATCTCAAACTTCTTCTCTTACACTGAAACAAAAATCTATTCTTATAGCTATAAAAATAGCTAAAATGACTTCTAAGAAAAAAATTTCACTTTTTAAAACTATTTTTCTAAAACTTACTACATCTAAATTAACTTCTAACTAAACAAAGGATAATATCTCTGAAACAATTGAAGATAAAAATAATAAACAACAATTTAACTAAATAGAAACTGATGAAATTACTAATGAAAAATCTACTAAACTACTTCTAACTTTTAACTAGATTAAAAATTATTTAATTACTGAAAATATAGAAGCAAACACTAAACTCCAAACTACACTTTCATACAATCTATTTAATTTTCTTAAAAACTACTTATATGACTTATACCTTGGAAAAGAAATTAAAGCTACTACTTCAACTCAAAAAGCTTCAAAAGCAATCTTCAAACAACATATTCATATAATGATTGAATTTTGACTAAAATTTTTAACTAACTTTATCTTCTAAAATAATTCTAATATTGATCCTAATACAACTATTCTATTTAATATTCTTGAAAATATTCTCAAAAAACTTATTCACAAATTTACAACTATCTTATTTACTAAACTTAATTATGGTTCAATTTTTGCTTCTCCTCTAATAATCCCTTCCTACAAAACTAAAAACTGAATGTAATTTTGCATTAACTTAGCTTATATTTACTTTTATTTATCTAACAACTATCATGCAATTGATTATAAAAAATTTGCTGATAATTTTAATTTCAATCTTAAATAATTCACTATTAACTCCTCTACAGTAACTACTAACAAAGAAAAAAAATATTTAACTATCAAATCTGATAGAAAATTTAATATTAATCTTCTCTTCAATATACCAAAATCTAATTTTTTAAAAGTCTACAACATTCTATCTCTTAAAAACTCTCTTGAGTACTCCAATGAATAGTTCAAAAACTTCTTTCCTATATACAACTACTAATTTGCTAAACCTCTAAACTAACAAAAGTCTATAATGCTCTAAAAGACAGGATTAAACAGCAATTCATCATCCAACTTAAAAAATTTCTTTTTACTGAAACAAATATTCAAGAACCTAACAACTACTCTGAGAGATAAATTAAATATATTCATCTTGCAAATTTCTATATACTTAACTATAATTCAAAAGAATACCCTCATTTCAAAGATAATAAACATGCTTTCTCTAATTTGTTTAAACTACATTTTCAAAAAAAGATAGTGAAATTTGAAAATTATCTACACTTAACTTCTCTGTTTTTGAAATTGAGAGAAAATATAACGCTGATTTTTTTTTTTTGTAATTTCCTCGATACTAATATTGAGGATGTAGTTGGTGCTCTTTTATTAATTGGTTCCTGTAAGTTTACATATTTTGTTGCTACGTACATCACTAGTGGTGTTCCCTAGCCCCTCTATACCACGTATTAACAAGTTTACTACTATTGTGGTAACCTGAGTCTCTGGCCTTGCAGTGTAAGACTTCCTTTTACAAGGTCCACAGTTCCCCATCAACACAGCCTAAAAATTCTGTCTTCTTTTAGTATGTCTATTACCTGTTTCATAATGTCCTAATCTAGGAAACCTAATGTTAATGATGTTTCTTGTTGAATTATCTCTTTATCTGAGTGCTATGTAACTTTTGTGGCTATATTATATGGCTTATTCATTGCAGTAGTACTTTGTCCGAAAATAGAAGTAGAAAATCTCTGTAAGATCATTCATTCATTCTTGTAATATTCTTATTCAGAAGTAGAAATAGAAAATCTCCTTAAGATCATAAACACTCGTGATCCTAGCACAGCTTTTTTTCTCCTAGTTGGAATTGAACTGGCAACCTTGCAAATATGACCTGGGAGTGCTAATCACTGCACTATCGACCTACAGATCTAACGCTGATTTTTCAAAACTAATCCCTTTAAAATTAATTGATGAACTAGCTGATCAAACTAAAAATTTTATTTGTAAACAAAATAAAACAACAAAATTTTAAATTGTTGAAGTTATTACTTTTACCAATACTTAAACACCTATTACCATATAGCTGCTGAAAACTACAATCTCTAAAACTTTATAAAAGAGAAAGCAATTGAGTATATTACTCCAAAAATGATTGATACTCATTTCTTGACATATATAATAATCTACTTTATATGATTAAGGAGGAACAATCTACTCTACAACAAATTATCAAACACTATAAAGAAGAAGCTCTCTCTGAAGCAAAGAACCTTTTTTTTAATAAATTTAATATTACTTTTATTGAATCTTCTTTGTTAGAGAATTCTCTCTTCTTTTTAGAAGATTCTTTTCAACAATAGAATCTCCTATACCTATAAATACAGCTACTATCTTACTGAAAGATATATATACTGTAGTTAGTAAGAAGAATAATATGAGTAGATAAGCAGTAAAGCCTATTTATGCAAAAGCTAAGTTTATAATAATCAGACTCAATATACAGAGCAGACTCTGGTATTCTTCATATTCATAAGAGCTAGAAATATAGTAAGCACTTTAGGAGATTCAAACTTCAATATACAGTAGCTCTCAATATAATGTAGTACCTCAGGTACATAGTGAGAAATTTTTTAAAATCTACTTTATTGTGAGTTTTATTAGTAAATCTGTTATATCAAGTAGTATTTATTATGATATGAATTTAAATCTTATCCATTATATCAAGATTTTACTTAGTCTCTGTTATATCAAGAGTCTGTTATATTGAGAGCCACTATGTATATATTTACTAATATTATTCAAACTATCTAATGCTTATAGATTATTAAACATAAATACACATAACTACTCTAATAGAACTACATCTTATAACAAAACCAACTTTTGTTATAACCTTTTCTTCTCACAACACAACTTATCATTACTTAAAGAAAATGAAATACTAGGCTCTTTTTTTATTCATTTATTTAATTACTCCTTTTTACAATTAATCCTTATTTCTATAAACCAAACACTTACAGAAACTTATATTTATCTTAATTTAAATAAACCTATACTTAAAAACACCAAATTCTTAAACTAATCTAATTTTTTAAATATTACCATCTATCTATCTGAACTAACATAACTAACTCTATTTTACAAACAGCTTCTAATACTAATTCTAATAATACTAACAACTCACTCTTCTTAATATTGTGACTCATAATATTAGAAAATACAACAATACCTTCAAAAAACAACTATGTGAAGACTTTTGTCTCTCTCATAACTATATCATTATTAGTTTAAAAAAACTAAGCTTACTAACTTCAAATCAAAATTCTTTAACATACAATACTTCACATTCTACCTATTTAATTCTGTCTCTTCTATGGAAGGAACTAG